AATTAAAAAATCATTGTGGTTCATCTATGCCAATATATAAAGTGAAGGTTTGTGGTGGCGTTGATACTTTTTGTCTCACAATTTTATTTCCCAAAATACCTCAATATTTGAAGTTTTTCTAAAAAGAATTTGACTTCTCTCATGTGCACAATTCAACTTGAGAGAGCATTTGAGTTTAGTGGGCCCATTGTGAGCCCAATCTCGGTGATCTAAATCATTTGCTTTTATTATTCGTTGAGAAGAACATTCATGTAAAAATCAAAATAATTGGATTTCGGTACCTATATGTTTGAATTACATTTATCTTAAAAAAAATGGACGGCAAATATAATTTGAAGAATAACCGTCCATTTTTTAAAGACAAATGTGATTCAAATATATAACTACCGAAATTCAATCATCTTGATTTTTTTATGTGAATATTTTTCTCAATGAGTTCTAAAAAGTGAACGATTTGGATAATTGAGATTTGACTTATAATGGGCTCAGTAAGCCTAAATACTCTCTCAAGTTGGATCCCTAACATGAGAGAAGCTAAATCCTTCGTAAAAAGTATGCAAAGAAGAGGACGAGTATTGAACCTACAAAATTGAGTTTAATAATGAAGACTCTTACCACTTAAGCAACATATTATATATATACACACACATATATATATATATATATTCCTTTGTCTTTATTCTTATAATTTTAATTTTTTTTTAAATTGCACACGTATCGCATGTACAGATCACTAGTACTATTATAAAAAGAATACAACTCAATTGGAATGAACAATTTTATCGCACAATGGAGTTTTCAAAAATAATTTTATGAGTTTTCAATTTGTACCTTTATATTTTTTGTAATTTTGAAAAATATTTTAATTAATTTTTTTTACTTTTTAGATGTACCTAATCTTGATATATTTAAAAAATATAAAATTTGTACAAAAAATTTTAAAAAATATAGGATACAACAAATTTTTTTTTTTTTTTTTTTTTTTTTTGTATTTTGTTGTATTTGGTGAATTTTTTTTTTAAATAATATACTTTTAGATGTATTTAAAAAATAAAAAAATTGTGTAAAATATTAGAAAACAGCAAAACAAAAAATAGAAAAAAAAAACTCAATTTTCTAAAAAAGTGAGCTAAACCAAGCAAAGGGTTTCACATATTTTTCTTACCTAACAGTTATTATGAGGACTGAAAAATAAAATCATTAAATCAATAACTGTTTTCTCCATATGATTTCCTACACACACTAGTAATTATACTAATTATAAAAATACATTAGTATATGTATATCATTTCAAATATTTTTCTAAACTAAAAATATTACTTCCATTTGGGAAGTGGGTTGACTTTTTAACTTTTTGATTTTTTTAACTATTTTAGCTAATTTAGCCTGCGCTAAAAAACTTGATTTGGGAAGAATTTTTTGACTTTTTTTTGTGAGAAAAGAATGTAATGATTATAAATTGAATGTGATGTTTTATTTTTTATGACTAAAATAGTCACTTTAACCCTTCCCAAACAATGCAATTTTCAAAACAATATAAAAACTCGTTTAAATGAAACAAAATTTTTTCACTCAACCATGACTTGTTACTTGCACCTAGGCCTGTCAACGGATCGGGTATAACCCGAATCCGATCCGATTAATCCAGTCCATTTATGAAAATCTGAATCCAAATATCTGTTTAACCCGTATCTGTGTAGCCCGATTTTAAACGGGTCGGACTCGGATAAATCCGATCCGATCCGTTTGTTTGCCTAATCCGATTACATTGAAATCAGATCTCTCATAAACAGATCTCTCTCATCGTCTGAAAAGTGCGTTCTGTTGTGGGTATAACCCGAATCCGATCCGAATGCGATCCGATTAATCCGGTCCATTTATGCAAATATGAATCCGAATATCTGTTTAACCCGTATCTGTGTAGCCCAATTTTAAACGGGTCGGACTCGGATAAATCCGATTCGATCCGTTTGTTTGCCTAATCCGATTACATTGAAATCAGATCTCTCATAAACAGATCTCTCTCATCGTCTGAAAAGTGCGTTCTGTTGTTTAAGTTCATCGTCTGAAGATCAAATCTCTCTCTCATCCTCTGAAAATGCTCCGATTGATGACGATGAACTTAGCCAAATCGAGCTCTCTGCTCCGATTGGATTCATAACCCTCAATTTCAAAGAACGAAGTCCAAATCTCGTCAGATTGGAGCTACGAACTGTAAGAGATCATCTCTCTGCTCCTTTTTATTTTTATTTTTTTTTGTTAGGTCTCTGTCCCGTTTCTGTTTTTGTTGCCGATCTGATTCTTGAAAGCAAATCGTAATTAGCTCTCCACTTTGCTTACTCGTATCTGATTTTAATCGTAATCATCTCTCCACTTTGCCGATCTGTTTTTGTTGCCGATCTGATTCTTACCCGTATCTGATTTTAATCAGCTCTCCACTTTGCTCTCTGGGTTTTTATTTTTTTATTTTTTATTTTTTTGTTTTTATTTGTGATTTTTTTTTGGTTTCTTGGTAATGAATGTGGGCTTTTTGAAATGAAGGTTGCTTTCCCATCTCTCTCTCTCTCACTTTCTTCATTTATCTATTGATACTTTTGGATATTCTTTTGGGGGTTACGTGAATGATGAGGGGTTTTAAGCACTATTTTGAACTATTTGATGAATTGGGTCTTTCCCCTTTCTTTGTTTTTTTGCTGATCTGATTATATATAGGTGTAAACCTTGAAAAGCAATTTGCTTGGATCTGTGTAGGTTCATAAATTCATCTTCTTTCTGTGTTGTTTCTGTTTTTGTGTTGGTGGGTATTATTTTCTGGTATTATTTTCATACCGTCTGTTTTTGCTAATTTGATTATATATAGCACTATTTTGAACTATTTTCATAAATTCATCTTCATTCTGAAATTTCTCTTCTATGTTAGATTCATGGAATAGCTTATCTTTTCACTACAATCCTCTGCAAACATGTCTGCTTATATTTTCACTACAATCCTCTGCAAAGACTTAGTAATGGGATAGCTGCTTATTAGTTTTGTTGTTTTTAAATGAATTCCACATGCCTTTACAATAGATTGATCACATGCACACAAATCTATATAATTTCCAAATTGGTGCACACTGTTTTTAAATGAACTCCTGCTCCTTTATGTTTGATTTCTTGTGCAGTGCATATTTGAGTTTTTGAGCCAAAGATGTCTTCGGATTATAGCGAACCTATTACTGCTGATGATGCCGAGTTGGATGACGATGTATCTCAAGGACCCACAAAGAAGATTCGAAAACTAACTTCAAAGGTATGGGATGACTTTGTCAAATTTAAAGGACCTAATGGAAATGACAAAGCTAGATGTAAGCATTGCAATAGGGAATTTGTTGGAGAGAGTAGGAAAGGGACTAGTCATTTAAAAAATCATTCGTCGAAGACATGTCCAGTACTTAAAGGGCCAAATGCCCCTAGGATTGCTAGTAAGGCTGCTTCTGAATCTACTCCTAAGGCTACAAATTTTAAATTCGATCAAGAGAGAAGTCGTATGGATTTTTCTAGGATGGTAATCAACCACAATTATCCTTTTAACATGGCTGAGCATGAATTTTTTGAAATATTTTGTAATAATCTTCAACCAATGTTCAAACTTGTTTCTCGTAACACTGTAAGGGCGGATGTCCTTGATGTTTATGAAATAGAAAAGGTCAAGTTATATCAATTTTTGGATGAACTCTCTTCTAAGATCACCTTGACAACTGATATATGGACTTCAGACCATCAGAATTTTGCCTATACATGTTTGACTGCTCATTATGTAACTAATGATTGGGAGTTGAAGAAGAAAATCCTTGCTTATAGACGCATTGATTACCCGCATGATGGAGACCATTTGTTTAGTTTTATCAAAGATATAATTTTAGAGTGGAACATAGATAAGAAGTTGTTTTCAATGGTAGTCGATAATGTAACGAGTAATGATGTCATGGTGAGACTCTTAAAGCGATGGCTACATGACCAAGGATTACTACATTTGGGTGGACAATTGTTTCATGTGTGTTGTAGCGCGCACATATTGAATTTAGTTGTTCAGGATGGTTTGAAGGTGATTGGGAGTCTTATTTCAAAAATTCGAGAAAGTGTGAGATATTTAGGGAGGTCTCCTTATGGAAAACAAAAATTTGATGTTGCAGTGAATCATGTTAAGTTACATCATAAAAAGAAAGTCCCCATGGATGTTCCTACCAGATGGAACTCCACTTATTCAATGCTTGAAGCTGCATTAGATTTGAAAAGTGCATTCCACCGCTTAGGGCAAATTGACAAACAATATAAGCACAATCCTTCTGAGGATGAGTGGAATGTAGCAAATGTGATTTGTTGGTGCTTGAAGATTTTTTTTGATGCTACATCTCACTTTAGTGGTGCCACTTTTCCGACTTCAAATGTGTTTTTTCCCGATATTTGTCTTATTCAACTTGAAATGAAAAAATGGGAGCAAAGTGAGTATGATTGCATTAGATTGATGGCCGGTCCAATGAGAGTGAAATTTCAAAAATATTGGGAAGAATGTTCTTTGGTGTTAGCAATTGCAGTGGTTCTCGATTCGAGATTTAAAATGGACTTGGTGGAATACTACTTTGGACTTATTTATGGTGTTGATGCTAACAAGCATATTCAGAGGGTCCGTAATGGTTTTGTTGATCTTTTTTATGAGTATAAGAGTGATTCTTCTGATTCTATGAGTTGCATTGCCCCTGTTTTTGAAAATAGTAGCTCAAGTGGTAGTCAATTGCATGTGGGTTCTTCGAAAGAAGAAAGTTTGGCTGCTTTTCATGCGTGGTATGCCCAAGAACGTGCTTCTAACATTCATGCCTATCAAAAATCAGAGGTGGAGCAATACTTGGAGGAGTTGGTGTTTCCAAGTAATGACAGCTTCAATATTCTACATTGGTGGAAAGTGAATAAAGCAAAATTTCTTACTTTGGCAAGGATGGCTCGTGATGTTTTAAGTGTTACAGCCACTACGGTTGCATCAGAGGCGGCGTTTAGTGTAGGAGGTAGGGTGATTGATGAGACACGTGCTTCATTACTTCCAGATATTGTGGAGGCCTTGATCACTTGCAATGATTGGATTGAATCAACCAAAAATAGAAGTAAGTGAAATATTGAAGTTTTTAAATAATTAGATGTTCTGTAGTTTAGTTCTATAAATATCTTAATGTCACATTATTTTGAAATTGCAGATGTAGAAGACACAATGAGACCTCCAGATATTGTGTAGATGGCTTGACTGACCTAAACAACCTACTAATGTGGATTGATCACATCATACAATCTTACAGAAGATACTCAAATCATATAGACTACAGTGTAACTTATTAGACACACTTAATTAAAGTAAAATATATATTTAGATTGCCTTCACACTTGTTCTTTCAAGTCTTCCTCTTGATCTTGTAGTACCTATAATTGAGCTTCAAGTCCCATCTAGTGGTGAGACAATCAGATTGTCTTCTCTGCACAGTTGTTCGATAGAAACTCACAGCTCTTGATTTTGTTGTGTTTTGTCTCAGGCATATGCAGGTGATTTTTTGCTGCCTTTAATCATGTCACATTGCATGCATTTTTTCCAGCATCATTTTGACTTGTATAGCTTTTAGAACAAATAACTTAAATGGAAAATTGTCACCCTCATGCTAAATTTATATAGATAAAAGTGAAGTTAATCTTTGAACTTGAATATATTGTCGCTAATTTATGTTCAAAATAGTTGCTTTTGAAGTTTGGGCTATTTCATGAGTATTGATTAAGGTGCTTGTGTTGTTTTCTCTATGCAGGTTGAATCATTGGAATCGACAATTGAAGCTTTAATGACTAAGAACTCACTGCAATTATCTTTTTTTTGACTCTGTTGACAACACAGCATTGCTTTTGACAGTTTGTTATCCAATTACAGTGTCCTGTTTTTGATCCAGCAAATTTAGAAGAGGAGAAGAATATGCTGAAAATAAACTATTTACGTAATCAACCTTGTCAGATTGAGGCATAGTCTGTTCTTCTTCACGGTTGTATTCTGTGACAGTTAATTCGGTTGTATAGGTTGTGGTTTTGTCTATTATTGAGTCCTCTCAATTACCTTGGAAAATGCTGTAGTGATGGTTCTTCTTGGGAAACCCTTCCTTTTCATGACCTTTAATTTCAATTTTTCCTTGTGTGCAATATGTTGGCTCAAGAAGATTTCCAAGTTTATCAAATCTGCAGCTACTTTCATGTTCATTTTGTTGTTGGGATTTATGCATGTGTAGTGGACTTTCATACATTTATTTTCTACACACAGGTAATCACCAATGGCAAATACAAGAGTGTGCTTCACAGAGTCATAGCACAAACAGATGGAAACAGGATGTCCATAATTTCAATTTTTCCTTGTGTGTAATATGACATATTTGGAATTCAATTGTATTTGTTAGCAGCAGTTCATTGGAATTCAATTATATTTGTTAGCAGTAGTTCATTGGAACTCAAGAGTTGATGTTTTCTTGATGACAGTTGTACTTTTTAGCCCTCCCTCCTCCCAAAAATGCAAGATGAAGTGGTGGTTTTTTTCTTAAATCACCTTTGGCATTTGTTCTTGCAGTTTCAAATATGCCAAGTTCTTCAAAACCACCACTGGTAGTGGCTATGGCTGCTAACCACAGAGAAGAGGGGGAGGAAAAAAAAAAACAAAAAAACAAAAAAAAACAAAACCCCAAAAAAAAAAAGGGATCGGATCGGATTATACGGATCGGATATCCGTTTAACACGGATCGGATCGGGGTGTAAATAGTCGGATTCTTAATAATCGGATTCGGATTCGGATTCGGATTACTGGTTAATCGGATCGGATCGAATTTCGATTGATCCGGCCCGGATCCGACCCGTTGACAGGCCTACTTGCACCATTGGACGTGTTATACTATTTGTTACGTGGACACAGTATGATTGGATTTTTTTGGGGATAAGAACCAACGATACTAGTTCATTGGACCAGACTCCTACATCTCAATAGAAGTGTAGGGCTTTTTGGGAAGTGAATTTAGTTTTTAATTTATTTTGTATGATATTATTTTTCATATATTTTTTTAAAAAAAGTTAAAAAAATTATTTTTTAATCAACTTTTTAAAGTCTTAGGGGTCTTTTGGGAACAATAGTAAAAGGTCAATTTGTTAGCTTGTTAGTAAAAAAAAATCAACTTTTTTACCCAAAACAATCCAGTTTTTTGCCAAAACAATTAAAAAAGTAAAAAAGTCAGTTTTTTACCAACTTCTCAAAACACCACTTAGTAGTTTGAAACTTTCATTTGCGTTGTGCATCTTATTTTTTTGATAAATTACACTTACACCATCTGAGATTTGAGTTTAATGTATATCACTCCTAACGTTTGAGCAATTACATTAACCTTCCTGCCATTATAATTATTTCGATGAATATATTGAACTTATACGCTCTCTCTTTTATTACTCTGCTTTACTTCTTTTATTTTATTTTTTCCATTCGGTTACTTTACTTTTTTTTTTTTCAATGTAATTTCCTCTATTTTTTACTAGGACTTGTTACCTTTTATATAAGTAGGAAGTTTATGAAATAAGATTATTAACCACATGAATGAGAATGCAATTTCCAAAAAATCAATAGGTGAAATGTAATTGAATCAAATCTCTAAAAGTGCCAGGTAATTTACCATTATATATATATATATATATATATTAGCTATGGCTCATGCCTAAAGGCACTTACCGCATTGTCATGATAAAAAATATGACACATTATATTAGAACCTAAGCAAAAATTAAAAATAAAATAATTTTTAGGAAGAAAAAACGAAATAAATTGATTATAGATGAAAAAAAAAATGCTTATTGTTCAATATTTTTTAAATCTCATGTCACACACGTAGTAGGTAATGAAATTTCTAAATAGTCTACCAAATATAACATAAAAAATATTTTATATAAAATTTATGCATATCAAACTTGTACAAAATATTTGATAGTGACATTTTTAGAATTGTAAACCACCATAATTTTAATTTAGCACATTATTGTATATAAATTTCTTTTACAAAAATTATGCATTGTAACTCACTTTTTGTTTTCAAATGCATAAAGAAAAGATGAGAGAGAAACAGAGAGAGAATTGAACTAAACTAACTGTTAATTGGACTTATCTCAACACATGGATTCAATTACATAGAGAGAGAATCAAACTTACCGTCAATTGGGCTTATCTCGATCCATGAATCCAATTACAAGACAATTTCAACCGTTAGATTCAGTTAGTTATCACAATTCACAATGACATATATGATATTTTCAACACATTTTTTAAAATACACATGCTTTATTATATAGATATATAATTTGAGGTGTAAATTATGCTAATAATAGATTGCATTGCAGTTTATTTGTCATCTTAGTATGCACAAGCATGTGGGAACAACTCAACGAATGATCCTCGTAACTAGGAAGCACTGAAGAAGACAGACTGAGAGAGAGGGGCTCCTTAATTTCTTCTTTTCTTATTTCCCTACTACTTTCATATCTCAACTACTTGTTCAAACATATTTCTAACAAAATGTAATTCATCTTAATGATGTATTAACTGAGTTTTAATTATGATGCAATAAAAGAATAAGACGTACTTCAACTTCTGCCATTTCATTAGAAGATTAGTGGTTCAGTTAAGTTTTATTTCTTGTGGATTAGTTTGATATTTCTCTCCTCCAAAAGGTAAAGAAAGAGAAAAATCTTAAATAAGTGGGATAGTAGAAAAACTTTGGCTGAACCCAAATAAGAGGGATAGTGTTAAAAAAAAAAATTTAAAATCATTTTTATGATATGCAAGTCTCTCCCATATATGGTGTAAGTTTTTTCTGTGCATGGAACAAGTCTGTTGTCACTAATTACCTCTATTTCTATTGCATATAACATTCACAATTTGTTGCACAAATCACCTAGTTAGTGAGTGCCCTTGCAGGAAAAGGGTAAAAAAATGAAAACCATTAGTTGGAATCTGAATCTTTTTTTTTTATATAGTAAAAATTAAAACTTTATTGATAAAAATCTAATGTATAAATTAAACACAGAGTTAAACATCGATAAAGACAAGCAAAGTGCAAAAAACATCCTAGCAAACTTTTTATTCCTACTAAATTGGCAATGAAAAAAACTAAAAAAGAAATCTAATCATATCCTACTAGGGTCGGACAAGCATTCATTCGACCCACCAAAATCAAATGGCCCTGTGAGAGGAATTTGCACTGAGAAGATTCGACCGGGGCAAATGAGGCCTTAGTGTTGGTTGGGCTAAGTCAGGCCCTACCTTTGGGTTGTGCTAAAAGGTAACTTCAGGGTTTTGTCGTGCCACCGACATTAACACATAAAACAGAAGACATTGTGAGGCCGAGCAATCGTCTACATGATCAGGTCAATGCGTCGAGCTACGTCAGCACACTGACATAAGTCAACGCATTGAGTTACATCAATGTGCCGAGCTGAGTTAGTGCGGCGTGAAGAGAAAATCACCGAGCCAGGTTGGCTCAGTGTGGTGTTTCGTTTTTTTCTTAGAACTAATAAGGCTACATTCGTTATGCAAATGGTAAGCAACCAAGCTAGTGTTTTTCCTGGTTGCCAGCCAAGAATTTGGGCCAATTCACTTTGACGTTAGCGATAAGGGTGAAAAATGATAAAGCATTATCTTATAAAAATGTGATTCTGTAACGTCCTCAAAATATGACATAAACCAACCATTCATAAGACCCATAAAAGATAATAGAAAT